CCACTGTCCCTTCCTGTGGTCAAGCACTAATCCTGGGCCTGGCTGCTTCCCATTCATCTGGTAGCCCGCTGCCCCCACATATGACACCAGGGTAGGCAGCGCCTGCCTTTCCTGTCCCACCTGGTTGCAGGGATAATGTCTGCTGTAGCCCTTCTTGGTCACTGGTGCTGGCGTCCTTCCTGGCTCCAATATGTCGCTCAGCTTCCGTCCCCCAGCTCTCTGCACCCCTTCTATGTCCTTCTGCAGGTCTTCTACTGGCACCACATTCTGCCAGTACATCCTAAGCCTGTGTGCATAAGCTCCCATCCGCACCGCATCGCTGCTCACTCCCTTCCCCACTTGTCTGGCCACTCTCTCCCTTACTAGTCTTATCGGCTCTCTCACATCTCCTTCCATATCCAAGTGCTCCAGCAGGTAAGCCACTCTGCTTTGCTTCGCCTGCACCCACTCCATGACTCTGAACAGATCCTCCATCAATTGTGTTCGTAAGTCCTGCTCACCTTTGCCCTTCCCTGCCCATGACACCCCTTGGCATTCCCACCCTGCCACCAACAGGTCCACGTGCCCCCAGCTTGCCACCTCAGCTTCCGTAATGGCCCTCACATCGTTCACTCCTCTGCCCATCGCTGCCTTGATCACCTCCCCTTTCAGCAGTTCTGGGAACTCTCTGTGCAACTCCCACGCCTGATGCTCCGCTATCTTCCTCACCTCTGGTGCCTTCTCCACGTAAATCCACTGCTTTACTGCGATTCCATTTCTCAGCACTGCTGCCAGTCCTGCCCCGATTCCTCCGAACAGCTCCACTAGCCGAATGGGTTGCTGCCAGTCGGTCTGCTGGCTCGGCTCGTCCATGAAACGCATCCTAGGCTCCCCACCCTGTCCCTTGCTTGTCGCGGCCTTCTTTGCCCCCTGCTTCTCTGTCATCTCTTTCAGATCTGCCCTGTAGGCCCTTTTCGGCTCGGTCCTGGCAAACTGCACCGGCAGCTGCCCCAGTGGCTCACCCTTCCTCCACCACCTGGTTCTGAACTCCACTGTCTCCTTCCAGAAGCAGATGGTCATGCCCAAAGCAAAGATCATCTCTGTGCCCACCAGGACGTCAAAATCTTCTGACTCTGAGATCTCGCACCTGATTCTAACCGGCGTCTCATGCTTCTCCCCCTTCAGCACCGTCAGCTCTATGGGAGTCCTCGTACAAGGCATCCACTTCGACTCTCCCCCTTCTGCTGTCATCACCAGCATCCCTTTCACCACATGCCTGTCAGGTGCCCATAGTCCCAGCTTCTCGGCCATCCCCTTTCCTAATATCACGCTCTGCGCTCCAGTATCGATAATAGCCGTTTTGGCCTTCTCCCCTTCCACTGACAGCGCCCCACCTTGGATCAGCAGCACGGAGGTCTGGCAAGCCAGCCTCTCCTGGGGGTGCCGTGCCGCTGTGCACCTTTCCTCTCCTTCCTCTGGCTTCTGTCCCCTCTCCCGCTCCTTTCTCACATGCTCCTTCCGTCCATCCTTTCCTCCGCTGCGCAACCCCATCTCCTCCCTTCCTCGCCATGCCATGTATGCTGGTTGCTCCTCATGCTCCGTCTCGTTCTCTCCTCTCCCCGCCCAAACCATGAATGCGGCTTCCTCGTCCTGCTCCACATCTTCCTCCTCCTCTTCTTTGGCGTACATCCCCGCCTCTGCTTCCCGCCGTGGCCCCATTGCCTGCAGCTGGGCCTGCAGCCTGCTGATCTGCTTCTCCAAATCTTCTGGTGACTTCTTCGCTGCTCCCTCTCGCTGATAACACTCCTTTGCCGCATGTCCTCCCTTCCCACAGACTTCACACTTTGGTGCTGTTGGACATTCCCGCCGCCGATGCCCTGGCTTGCCACAGGAGTCACAGTTCTTGCAGTCTCTACGCAAGTGTCCTGGCTGCCCGCATCGGTGGCACGTCCGCGTGTCAGGCCTGGTCTCCCCTCTTCCCGCTGCCCTGTCCCTCTCCTCTGGTATCATGGCAGCAGCCCATGTAGGTCCCCTGCCTCGCTCCGCCTGCCTGGGCCTGTAGGCTTCATACCTCCTCTGCGCCAGCTCCATCTTTTCTGCCAGTTCAAACACCTCCTCCAGCGCTGTGTCAGCTCCCATCTCATACACTTTCATCCGCAGTCCGCTTCCCAGAGTGCCCTCCAGCCCATCCAGGAATTTACTCACGAGCAGGGCCGTGTCTGCGCAGCCACATCCTCTGCTAAGTTGACCAGGCGGTTATAGTAGGTGAGTAGTGACTCACTCCGCCCCTTCCTGAAATCTTGAAACTCCCTGATTTTCTCTGCCGTGTGACCTGGAAACTGGCGCTTTAGCCGCCTCAGGAATGCTTCAGTAGGGTCCTCCCCGTACCTTCCTGCTCTGTCCAGCAGCTCATCCATCTTCGTCCTGTATAACGTCTCCGCCTCCCCTTCCAATGTGTTCGGCAGACTCAGAAAGAAGTCCACTGAGTCCATGCCGCTCCTTTCGCATCTGTACCGCACGTTGCCAACCTGCATCAGGTAGTTCTTCAGCGTGGGGCCCGTGCGCTGGTCTCCTGAGAAGCGAGTTGGCACTTCCACCCTCGTGACCATTGCCGTGCTTCCCCTGCCTTCTCCCCACGCCTCGCTCGGTCCTTCTGCTGATCTCCCTGATGCTCCTCTCTCTCTCGCCCGCAGTAATCCTTCCCTTGCTTCTCTAGCTCACTCCAGGCTGTGCATCAGCCCACTGCCTCCTTCTCTGCTGTCGCGCTGATCCCGTCCTTCCTCACTGGCACGTCTTCCGTCATGCTGCCAGTACCGATCAGGTGAGTGATGCCCATAGCCGCGCCCCCCTTCCCTGCTATGTTGCCGTGGCCGCGAGCCGTGTCCGCCTTCCCGGCTTTCTCCAGGTTGCCTGTGCCAGTCGGGTGAGTGTGTCTCGCTTCCCCACCTGTCTCCATGATACCGTTGTAGATCAGGCGAGCGGTAGCCGCCTCCGCGTCCCTCATCACGCGGATAACGAGGACCTGGAGAGCGCCGCTCCCCTCCGCCTCTCCAGTCGTGATACCTCCGCGGATCTGGTGAGCGCCCACCTCCCCTGCGTCCATTGTCTTGGTACTGCCGTGGCTCAGGCGAGCGGTAGCCGCCCCTGCACCTGTCTTCATGCAGCTGCTGCCGTGCTGGCGAGCGATAGCCGCTTCCGTGCCTCTCGTTCCCGTGCGGACGTCGTGGGTCTGGCGAGCGTGCGCCGCTACTGCCTTCCCCGCCAGTTCTGCCGCCGATCTGGCGCGCGCGTGCCGCCACACGCCCCCCCTTCCCGATACATTCGCGGATCTGGCGAGCGCGCACCGCCGCCGCGTCCTCCGTCTCGATTCAGGCACGGATCGGGCGAACGCGCGCCGCCGCCACGTCCCTCGTCCCGCTGCTGACGCGGATCTGAAGCGCGCGCGCCACTGCCACGCCCCCCACCGTCGCCTTTCTCTTCGTCGCGCGGCAGATCTCGAGTACTGCCCTTTCCGTCCGCCTCCACCGTGCTCGGCTCCGCCGCCACGCCCGCCTGCGCGGGATCCTTATCCTTAACTTCAGCGGGCATTTCGCGCTGCTCGCCTGCGCCTTCCTCCGGGGATTCGTCATCGCCCTTGATTTCACCATCACGGTTTGTCTCCCGCACTCGATTCGCCGAGTCGGCCTCGTCGTCTCCATCCACGTCAAGATCGCCTTGGCGACCCGAGAAGAACTCCTCCAGGCCTCGCCCGCGACTTCTCTCTTCGCGACGGCGATGGCCTTCCTCCGGCGAGCGGTACGCTCCCGTTTCCTGGCGGTACCCATGACCGCCCTCAGCTCCGTGACGCCCGTCTGTCCGCCATGGGTCGCTTCCTATCATGACAGATCCGGAACCGCCTCTTCCTTCTCGAGCGGATCTTCCCTCCTGCCGATCTGGCGCGAGAGGGACCTGATCCGTGCGAAAGGCCGGCCACCGCGGAGATCGCTCAGGTCGCCGCGGCGACCTCTCCAAGGAACGCCCTCGCTCACGTGAGCGTTCGCGCCGTGGGCGATCTTCCTCACGGCGTCCGTAATTCCTGCCGTAATGCAGCTCGTACACATCCATGCTTGTACGCGAACCCCCTTTCTGTTTGTTATGAAAGCAACGAGACTCTCACCTCAAAGGTCCTCCCTGAGTGGGTGTCACCGTATGCAAAGCTTTAAGGCAACAAGAATCCACTATACGAAAGGATAACAAACAGAAAGCATTGTGTGTGTGTGTGAGAGTGAACTTACCTGACCCTGGCTCGAACCGTGCATTTCTCAATGTGCGGCTCGAGCCTGGGTTGGTTCGTTCCGATTGGCTGCATGGATTTCACCTTTGGTGCTCTCCTACCAACTTCGCGTCAATTTCCCAGCCCCCACCTACCCATCCTCGAATCTGCAAGTACAACATACTACACCGTAACTACACCTCCTCAATACTGTCACCTTATATGCACAATCGTGCATATTCGGTGACAACCCAAACCTCCTAGCCTAGAAAGAAGTGACTCCAACCTTGTTGGTCAAGCAGGAGGTGCCCAATCATAATTGCCCCATGTGATGGGGTAGCCAACTTTAGAGAGCAACAAACAACCCCACCTTCTAGGGTTGGTTGGATTGGTCCTTCCCCCACTAGGCCACGTAAACTTGTTGTCTAATTTGGCAGGATTGTTTCTTTCTCCAACCTCTCCTTCTTTGTATATCCTTGTGCTCTCTTCAGCTAATTACATCTCATTTTCTCCTTTAAAATCCTCTAAGGTTGCTAGATTCTTTCAACTGCGTCCCTCCTTTCCTCTCTCCGCATACCCCTGCAAGGGCAGGGCACCTCTATCCCATCCCATCCCACGCCGCCTCCCATCCCATCTCACCCCATCCCAACCCACCCCACCGCACCCCGCGCCAATTACCACACACTCACTCACCGCAGGCGCCCTGGTTCTTAACGGGCCACGGCAGCCCCAGGTCGGCCCAGGAGAACGCCTGGCTCACAACCCACACCTCCTCCTCATCTCCTCCCCCTTCTGCTCCTGCTCCTCCTGTCGTCGACTCCAAAGGTTGCACGCCCCCACTGGCATAGCGGAAATAGAGGTTCGCCCCCACAGGTGATAGTGACGCCTCATTGAACCGGAACCCAAACTGCTGGCCTGCGGAGTGGAAGGAGAGGGTAAGGTTGGGTAGGGTAGAGTGGGGTGGGGTAGGGTAGGGAGGATGATAGTGGAAGAAGTTGAGGTGGCATTTGAGGTGACAATGTTTAAGAGAGCTCGAGCCTTGAAGAAAAGTACATTTGAAACGCTGGGTTGAGATGCATAAGAAGAGAATCAGAACAATGCACGATGAGAGAGCCAATGTTAATCGGTCAATGAGAGTCAAGAATGTTGGAGAGCCAACAAGCCTGCTACTCAGATTCTGAGGATGTGGATACTCGACCTAAAACAAAGCTTAGTTGTACGCTTTAGAAGAATACGATTGGATACTCAGGAATGCTGGCCATGCAGATTAGTAGGGTAGAAAGATGGTAGCAACGCAGTGGGAGGGGTTGTGTGACGTGGGGAGATAATGATAAGACTGGTTAAAGGACTGGGGAGATAACAGGAGTGAGAGCTGGGCGTGGAGTCAAAATCAGGTAAGAAAAATATCAGGTAACCAGAAGGGCTGTGGAGTCAAGCCAGTCTACGTCGAGTCAGTATGAGTGAAGTCTGTTGTACCTGTGAGGGTGGTTGGCTCCGGTAGGCCTGGATAGAAGAGATGATGGAAGAAGAAAGGAGAGAAGAAGAACACATGGAGAAGAGAGGTGAGGAAGGTACGGGTCTGAATGTTGTGCATGTGGGACAAGATCTGGAAAAGTCACCAGTGATGCAGATGTAACCAGTGATGCAGATGTAACCAGTGATGCAGATCGTAACCAGTGATGCAGATCGTAAACAGTGATGCACATGTAACCAGTGATGCAGATGTAACCAGTGATGGAGATGTAACCAGTGATGCAGATCGTAACCAGTGATGCAGATGTAACCAGTGATGCAGATGTAACCAGAGATGAAGATGTGACCAGTGATGCAGATGTAACCAGTGATACAGATGTAACCAGTGATGGAGATGTAACCAGTGATGCAGATGTAACCAGTGATGCAGAAGTAACCAGTGATGCAGATGTAACCAGTGACGCAGATGTAACCAGTGACGCAGATGTAACCAGTGACGCAGATGTAACCAGTGATGCAGATGTAACCAGTGATGCAGATGTAACCAGTGACGGAGATGTATGACGGGCATGTAATGCAAAGAGTAAATGACATGCAATGACATGCAACGACATGCAAGCAGGGAAGGGCATGTAACGAGTTGGACCTGCGTTGATGTTCCAGGCGAGAATGGAGTGTTGCTGCGGGGAGTCAGAGCAGGAAGCAGAGAAGCCCATGAGGAATGAAGCCTCCTTTGCGGTGGGCTTGAGGTAATGGCACAGAGACACTTGCACCGACAGCACTGCCTTGCTCGGTTGGGGGGATGCGCTGGTTGAGAGAAACACTTGTAGCAACCCAGTGCCCCGAGCGCTAGAGCTGGCACGAGAAGTGGAACTGGAAGAAGAGGAGGATGAAGGAGAGGGGTCGAAGACAATCCAGGCGTGCTTTGGGTTGCCGTCGTTGAGAGTGAAGGGCGCCTTGGCAGTTGCGATGGAAGAGGTGTTTCCCCTCACACTGAGCCCCACGTGGTTGCTGTCTGGGTCGTTGGCATCGGTGCTCTTAGAAGTGTCAAACTCCACGGCTATGCTGCGCTCATCCATGCCTGCATACCCCAAGCTGCCACTGCCCCCACTGCCGTCGCTGCTGCCACTGCTGCCACCCGTCGCAGCGTCACTGGCGGCAATCACGAATGCAAAACCGTCCCCGGTTTGTGCTGCGGCGTTGGCGGTGGTCGGTTTGAGAATGGAGAAGGAGAAATAGACGGTGAAGGCGAAGGGACGGCCGCAGGCACCGGCTTTCAGGGCGAAGGAGAAGAGCGAGATGGGGAGTTGGAAAAACGCCGCGCCCCATGTGTTGGGCTGTGAGGCTGTGAGCGTGATGGCACCGTCAGTTGCTACTGCCGCCTTCCCTTTGACTGCTGTCTGCGCTGCTGTGGGCACCAAGTCCATTGGGTCGCCCGGCACGCCTGGCAGATGGGGACAGAGAGCACAGTCAGAGAGCACAGTCAGAGAGCACAGTCAGGGAGCACAGTCAGAGAGCACAGCAGAGAGCACAGTCAGAGAGCACGGTCAGAGAGCACAGTCAGAGAGCACAGTCAGAGAGCACGGAAAAGGAAGGGCAAGTTGAGCAGGGAAGGGCAAGGATAGATTAGCGGGAAGGGCCGCTTTGCAGGCCTGGCCAAAGATGGGCCGAGCACGACCAACTAGCCAGGAGTAGTCAGTGGGCCTCGACCTATAACGAGGAAGGGCCACACATGGCGTAGGTTGCAGACTTCGGTCTGTAGTCAACCCAGTCACACGAAAACTAACCAAGTTTCACTTCTTACTCGTGTTTCACTTCACTCGTACACATGGAGCTTGTTTGCTTGCATGCTTTGCTAGATAAATACTACGCCCACACAACACTGCATTACTCGCACAGCCCTAACCACCTTCACTAGCCTCACCCCATCATTCCCCTCTCCCCAGCCACTCCCCTCTCCTTCCCTTCCTGCACTCACTTCCTTCAGCAACGCAGCTTCCAGGCAACTCCCCGTTGACAAACCCGGAATCACAGTCACACGTGGGCACTCTGTTGGGCCCAGCCGCATAGCACGAGCCATGCCCGCCACACGGGGGATTAGCAGCACTGATGCCACAGAAGGCAGCACAGAGCACTTCTGGCCGCTGCACCGCTGCATCCGCAGCAGAGGGCGTGGCAGGCGTTTGGCAGGCATAGCCGTCAGCAGGGGTTTCAAGGCAGTTGAAGCGGAAGGAGATGGAGCCTTGGGAGCAGTCAGGAGCGGAATCGAAGCCTGAGGAGAAATAGTTGAGATCGAGATTGTAGTTGGTGAGGGATGCTGGGATGGGCTGTAGTATACGGCCCGTCAGCTGGTTGTTGCGTAGGTTGCTGGGAGTGGGGTAGGAGGTTGCAGGGAGGGAAGGGGTTGGGAATGGAGGGAGGAGCGAGGACAAGGGAAGGGAAACAAAAAGAGTTAGGAATGTCCGCCCGCATTGGGAAGTTGTAAATATACAAGTAAATTCATGTTCACCCAGCCTGGGAAGTTGTAAATTGACTTTTGAGTCGACTCAAAAGTCAATGCCCCACGTAAATATACAAGTACGTTCAAGTTCACCCGTCTTGGGAAGCTGTAACGTACCGACTTATCTGATAATTCACGGAAGACAAGGGAGACAAGTCGCACAACAGGTGCAATGAGCGGGAATGAGCTTGCCCCGAAGGCTTAGACTTTTTGGTCCTTGTGGCGGCGATGTCATGTGAGGCGCTTCGGTGCCTTTAAAGTTGACTCAGAATATGTTATAAGATGCCTCTGAGAAGCAGGCTGCGGCGAGGCTTGACTAAAAGCTCATTAATAACCCGCAAGTCGGCTACTACTCGTGGTATTTCGTCAGCAGGTTCTCAGGCGTGTCGAGAATAGTATATTTGCAGGTGGCGTGTGATTTGTAGATGGTATAATGTTGTTGGGAGGATGCACAGGAGGGCAGACACAGGAGGGCAGACCGAAAAGATGTATGTTGGGAGGATGCACAGGAGAGAGAGATGGGATAATGGAAGGAGACACAGGAGAGGAGAGCGGATGGGATGATGAGGGGTCGACGCACAGGAGAGTGAGGCGGACAAGGCCGGTGTACTGAGTGGGGATGGTTCCATGCAAACGGTTGTTGCTCAGGTCACTGCAGGAAGAGAAAGAGAGAGAGCGCGTGAGAGGGGATGAGATGAGAGCGGAGGAATTGGAAGGGATAAGAGAAGAGGGAACTTACATGCGGTGTTTCAGACGCCTAAGAACTTTATGTGGCATTGACAGAAACACGCATTAACTGGGAGAAAGCAGCTCGTTCAAGACTTGCAGAAAATTTGCTGGCGCAAAACTCAGCGTTATTGTGAGTTGCTGCTGGAGCAAGGGAACAAGACAACGACGTAGCAAGGAACAGTGGCAGGACTGGTTGCAGCAACCAATCGTGAAAAATCGTGAAAAAAAAAACAAAAAAAAATGGTGTGGTGAACAGAAAAATCTTTGCTCGATTCAACCCTACATAGTGTAGTGCGTGCATGACACGTACAGCGGAGATTGCTGCAAAGATTTGATTCCAGCTGCAAGCTGGTTAATGAGGGGGGTTTCCAAATATCAACAAGTTCAGGCCACCATTATCTCAGTTCATCAGCAGCAAATTATTCTCAGGCGAAATCCCTTACAGGAAAAGGAAGAATGTTATGGGCACGTAGGACAGCCTAGCCAGTGACCACTCACTCACGTTGCACAAAATGGACAGAACGCAGAGAGAGAAGAGAGACGAGGAGAGCAGAGAGAGAGAGCAGAGTGCACTCACAGGGTTTCCAGCTTCAACAGCCCTCCGAGAATTTTGGGCAGGGTGCCGCTGATTTTGTTGCAGCAGAGCTTGCTGAGGGGTGCAGACGGAGGGGGCAGAGAGAGGAGGGGCAGACAAAAAGAGTAGAGAGAGAGGGGCAGTGAGCGTGGGCAATCTGTCGGCTACTTAACGAAGTGCAATCTTGCAAATGCAGCAGACAACCCCCTTGTAGGGACTCCTGGTGAGGCCTTGTCCCTCGGGGAGGATTGCCTCACCATCCTTGAACCCGCACTGAATCTCCCTTAGAGGAAGACCAGCAGGGAGGCGGCGGATTCTGTTTTGCAGCAGTGAATACTATTTATGCCTGTAATTTTGCATATACCTATAGCTCGCATGTATGTAGGCTGCCGCCTATATCAATGAAAGGACGGTTCGATGGGCACAGAGAGAAGGGCACGGATGTGGGTGGGTTGGGTGGTGGAGAGGAAGGTGGAGAGGGAAGGTGTAGGACAAAGGGCGAATGGCGGAAGGGGCATTGTGGGACTGATGAGCGGCTAACGGACAGGTAAAAGGGAAGAAGAGGGCAGGAAAGGCAGAGAAGAAGAAGGCATGTTTGGGAAAACGGAGAACGAAGGCAAGAAGGGGAGCAGCCCTGATGGCAGGGGACGAGGGATGAAGGCGAGAAGGGGAGAATGGGAGAAGGGGAGAAGGGGACAGGGGGAGAAGGTGAGCAGAACGAGTAGATTGGCAGAATACTGACAGCGCTACAAGATTGTTGAGAGTGGAGTATTGCGAAGGTATGGAGCCGGTCAACTCGTTGCCACCCAGATTGCTGCAGTAAAGGGAGGATGCAGGTGGGAGCGAGTGGGGAGGGAGGGGCTACACATAAGGAGAAAAGATCGGAGAAACTACAACAAGTGAGAAACGATTGACCTATAAAATACACCGCAGAGGGGCTCGGCGCGTTATATGCAACACCTTCCTTCCATCCACCATGTCCCTACCAGAACGACAGAAGCAGGGGAGCGAGAGGGTGGAACAGGGGGCGGGGGGGGAGGAGGGCAGAAGAGGGAGGGAATAATGGGGACGGAAGAGGGCAGGGCAGTCCAGCACTCAAGACAGGTCTTGAGGTGTTTTAGAGGCTTTTCACGAACCAACCACTCACAGGGCCTCAAGACCTTCAAGAGAACCCTCAAGAGCCAGCCAGGCACTCACAGGGCCTTAAGCCATCTAGGAGAACCCTTTCAAGACGCGGCCAGGCACTCACAGGGACTTGAGGGTGGTGATCTCGCTGATGCTCGTTGGCAGCGGGCCGGACAGGTCGTTGTTGCTCAGGTCACTGCGGGGTGAGGGCGCGCACAGAGGTGGGGTTCAGTTGAGTTGGGTTAGGTCGGGTGGGGCAGGGCACCAGAGCGTTAGGTAAGTAGAGCAAAGCGGAGCAAAAGCAAGGCAGTGGGAGGGGTGGGTACGCAGGCAAGTTAGAGATGGAGATTCAGTGTGGCATGCAATGGTGAAGAGATGAGAAGAGAATAATTGTTCGGATTTTCCATGGCATCGCATGGCATGGCATGGCAAGAGCATGTGTGGGAGGGCGCATGGGAGCAGGAGCAAGTAGGAGCGCAAGCTGGTGATGGCACCCAATGCAGTGATGCCTGCAGCTCGTACACTCCCTCCCTGGTGGCTCGTTGTAACCCTTGAGTCGAGACTCAAAAGTCAATATGAGTCAATTCAAAATCAGAAGGGCGCATGGGAGCACCCAGTCAACGTGGTGCATTGATATCAGTTTGGTCGTGATGCGCATGTGTAGGGAGCGTACCAGGCAGAGTTGAAACGCTCATATCTTTCAAAGCGTATGGAATGAAATGGAAACACATGGCGAGAAAGTTTAAAGTTGTGGGAATACATGCTGGTGATGACACCCAAGACAGTGATGCCCGCAGGCACAGTTCCCGATAGCTGGTTGTAACTCAGGTCCCTGTTAGGGTGCCATGCAGAGGGGCACGGAAGAGGGGGCAAGGAAGAGCGAGCGAGGGAGAGGGGGCGAGGGAGAGGAATTGAGGGAGAGGGAGCGAGAAGAGAGGGGACGGTTGAAAGAGAGAACAAGAGCTCATGGGAGGGGATGGGATAGAGAGGCCGAAGGACATTGGGATAGTGTAATTTATTAATAGAGTAATACAGAGCGAGAGAGTGGTGGCAGATGAGGAGACAGAGCGAAGGAACAAGGAAAGGAGCTAAATACCGGAGCACAGGGATGGGCACCAGGTTGCAGCTTGTTTTCTTGCTTGATTTCTTGATTGTGTGTGTGGTCGATCAGTTGGTTAATCACATTTGGTTGGATGCAAGATCTTTTGCTGATCACTGAGTGTGTTGTCTTGCAAGTGACGGGATTCATGTGATAGGGTTCAAGCAACGGTTTTCATACAGCTTTTGCAGGCCGGTAATCTGTGCAAGCACTTCTGCAGGAACAGGACCCGTGAGAAGGTTGTTGGAGAGCGATCTGAAAAGAGCAGGAGGGAGAAAGTGAGACGAAGAGGGACATTCAACAAGGAGGGACAGAGAGAAGAGGCAAAACAATGCAGGGAGCATGCGGAGCACGTGAGGGGATAGTTGAGCAAACAAGCTCTTCTGGGGCGCCTCAAATAAAGGAACGGTTGCGCAAGTGAGGACAGTGCGAAGGCTGGGTGGGGTGGGGGAAGGGGAGTGCATACAGTGTCTCAAGGGCAGTAAGGGTGCTGAGGAATGAAATGGTTGAGTCAGAGAAACGGTTGAAGCTTAATTCTTCTAGGCGCCTTAAAAATCACCTCAATGCAGGCGAGGGGGGGGGGAGGGGGAGTGCATACAGCGTTTGAAGGGAAGTAAGGGTGCTGAGGGATGAAAGGGTTGAGTCCGAGAGACGGTTGAAGCTCAAATTCCTGCGAGGGTGAGAGCGGGGGGTGGATGAAGGAGAGGAGGAAGAGGAGGAGAGACGGGGTGGGGTGGGGAGCGTGTAGGAAAGTGGGGGGAGGGGACATTGGGGGTTGCTGGTTTGGGTATGTTGAACCTGACAGACAGAGGTAGTGGAGACTGACATGGACAGCTGCAGAACAATTTGAGCACATGGGCTGGGCCTGGGCATGTAAAGACACACGCACACAAATGGTTGCACAAACACATGAGAAGATAAGCGAACGTACACATGAGTATACGAGCCCAACCCCAAGCTCAGACCGAACTCCTTCAATCCCAACCCAAAGAAGAGCACTTCTATAATGACTCCACTCTACTGCTATGCTCCACCACAATCTTGAAAGCAGATTTCATTTAAAACGTCTCAAAATACTTCTAGAATGACTTCACTCCACACTGCTATGCTCCACTCCACCACAATCTTGGTTGCACACAGATTTCCTGGTGCAACCTTTATGCTGCACCGCAGTTCAACTTTTGCGCATGGGCGGTTTTGCAGTCTTTTGAAAAACGGGTATAAATGAAATGACTACTCGGAAGGGGCAAAAAGATCAAAAGATGAGGGAAAGGTAAAGGTAGTGGCTAACAGGTTGGTGAGTTTGGTGAGGAGGGAGAGCGATGAAGGCATGGATCCAGAGAACTGGTTGCGACTCGTGTCCCTGTGGTGCAGCATGGCATGGTGTGTGTTGTGTGGCATGGCATGGTGTGGGTGGGGTGGCATGGCATGGTGTGTGTTGTGTGGCATGGCATGGTGTGTGTTGTGTGGCATGGCATGGTGTGTGTTGTGTGGCATGGCATGGTGTGTGTTGTGTGGCATGGCATGGCAGATAAATGCATTGGTCAGAGTGAGGAGAGAGGGGGAGTAGAGGACAAGAAGCATGCGAGCACAATGCAACATAAGGCGACAGACGAGGAGAAACAAGCAGGTCCTTACAAAGGGACTAAAGAGACTTGTTGTGCAAGGTTTTGTGTGTGCGGCTGATGTTACGGGTGGAGTGGAAGGCAAGGCACGTGCGAAAACACACACAGCAACACGGCACCACACCTATCCCCCCCACCACACACAGTCATCCTGCAGCCATTCACACAAGGGATCCATATTGCATCTGAAGAAACTCTTGCACTCACAGCTGAGGTGCATTGGTGAGTGCGGCAATAATAGGCTCTGGGATGGGGCCTGAGAGAACGTTGGACGACAGGCCCCTGAAGAGAGAGGGATGCGATGCGGTGGTGAGGGGTGACAGTGGTAGGGAAGTATGAGGGTGGCTGGGAGGGATGGGCGTGGTAGAGAGGGGTAGAATGGTGTGCGATGGGGTGACATGCGATGATGCGGAGCGGAGAGTGTGTGGTTGGGGTGCGATGAAGAAGGATGTGATCGGATGGGATGGGATGGTATGGGATGGCTTGGCACGGTATGGGACAAACGCGTAATGAAAGGCCGTGATACACAATACGTCGTAGCATACTGACAGGGTGGGTGGAGAGCTGCTGAAACCGCGTGTCAGAACTGGGAGAGCTGGGAGAGGACACTGACAGGGTGGAGAGTTGGGAGAGGCGGCTGTAGCCCAAAGGCAGCGATCCCGAGAAGATGTTGCTGCTGAGGTCGCTGGGGATGGGGGGAACAGGGGAACGATGAGAAGAGGAGGGAGAGGGAGTGAGAGAGAGAGAGAGGAGGGAGGATGTAGAGGATTGAACAGTGGCAGAGAGACCAAGGAGAGAGCGAGAAGTGGAGGGAAAGTATGAGGTGAGGGAGAGAGCGAGAGGTGGGAGGATAGAGTGAGTGAGAGACTAACAGGTGAGAGAGGGCAGTGGCAAGGCTAAGGGCGGTGGGCAGCGGCCCTGATATCTGGTTGGAACTCAGATCCCTGCACGTGCCAAGGAGAAGGGGGTTAAGGGACAGGGCAGGCAGGGATATAGGGCAGAGGCAGGGTGGTTCTATGGCACGATGGGATGGGTCAAACAGGGAAGGACGGAAAGGGGAGGAGAGGATAGGGCCGGACGGAACGCAACTGAGATGGGGCAGGGGAAAAGGGAAGCAATACAGTGCAGGATGGGAGAGAAGGGGGTGGGAAAAGGAGGAACTGCACGGGCAGCACAGCTGCTCGTCTCACAGCTGTTGAGGCACCTCAAAAGTGTGTGCTTGCGAGCTTGCACGTCTCACAGCTGTTCAGGAACCTAAAAAAAGTGCACGTGTACAGCGCGCTTGCTCGCACTCACAGCTTCCGTAGGTCCGTGAGTTGGCTGAGAATGGGAGCAATGTCGCCAGAGAGCTGGTTGGAAGCGAGAACTCTGCATGGGGTTGGTTGGGGTTGGTTGGGGTTGGGTGGGGTTGGGGCAGGCGTGACTTTGGTTGGTTGAGGCGCCTCAGAACTGAGAATGGGAGAGATGTCGCCAGAGAGCTGGTTGGACGCGAGCACTCTGAGAACATGGGGATGGGGGTGGCGGATGCGGTGGGGATGGGGGCGGGGGCGGGGGCGGGGGCGTAGGCAGGGGAGGTGGTGGTGGCGGTGGCGGGGTGGTGGCAGCAATAGGGGCAGGAACATGGTGACAGCACGAGTGGAAACGAAAGGAGAAGGCAGCATGACAGCATGGAATAACACAAAGAGAAGCAGCAGAATCAAGAGGCGAGGCTTGTCAAGCAGGCTGGCGGTTTGTCTTCGAATCAGGCTTGGTTTGAATGAGCCAACGAGCATGCAATGCAATTCCACGGCATGGCATGACAATGGCATGCGATGCGCAGGGAAACGCATGGCTCACAGATTCTGCAGTTTTCTTAGAGTGGTGAAGGAAGCAGGAATGGAGCCCTCGATATCATTGCCTGAGATATCACTGGAAGGATAGAAGGGAGTGAGGGAGAAAGGGAGGGAGGGAGGGAGGGAGGGAGGGAGGGAGGGAGGGAGGGAGGGAGGGAGGGAGGGAGGGAGGGAGGGAGGGAGGGAGGGAGGGAGGGAGGGAGGGAGGGAGGGAGGGAGGGAGGGAGGGAGGGAGGGAGGGAGGGAGGGAGGGGGGGATGGAGGGAGGGAGGGAGGGAGGGATGGAGGGATGGAGGGAGGGAGGGAGGGAGGGAGGGAGGGAGGGAGGGAGGGACAGACCAGAGACAACCGGGGACAGTGGTGAAAAACGGAATCTTTAGTGACTTTACAGTAGAAAACAAAAACCAAGGGTCTCTACTGATCAATCCAGCACTGTGGACGAGGAGAGCGAGAGGAACGGAAGGGCCTCTAAAACAAAAAAGAGAACCGTGGGAGGGAGGATTATCAATGAAGTGGTTGAGTGAGTGAGTGTGTGGGGAGGTGAAGGGGTAAGAAGGGGGGAGGGGATGCGGCGGGTTAAACATGGTACGGCAGGGCCGAGAATGCAATTTCTTAGACTCTTACATGGTGACTGCACCAGCAACATTGGAAATCCCATCCGGAAGAGACCCGATGAATAGATTCCCCGACAGGTCACTGTGAAGAAGGAAGGGTCAAAAGGGGGAAGGCAGGGAGTTGAAGCGACGCTCAGGAATCAACCCTGAGAGAGCATTCCCCAACAGGTCACTGTGAAGAAGGGTAGACAGGGGAAGGAAGGGAGTTGGAGTTGAGAGGGCGTGTTGGAGTGATATTAATGGGAGAGTGAACAAGCAAGGAAACGAGAGGGCACATCGGGAAGAGTTCATATCGTGCAAGAGAACTTGCGGAAAGTTAGAAGTGAGCTAGTGCTCGCTCTGCTCTCAACGGTGGCCCCGAAGAGCAACTTTCCTGATTGCTGTCCTAAACCCAACACACGCTATCAGTATCGTTGGACTTTCAACAGAACCGGCTCTTCGATGTATATCTTCCCCTACCTTCCCGCTAGGGATGAGCAAGGGGACGAACACCTGTTCGGTTCGCCTCGAACGTTTTTTTGTTGGCTTAAATGGTTCGCCAAACAGTGTTCGAGGTTCGCCCGAACACGTTCGTGTTCGGGCCGCTGCTGCAATTTGCCCCGCAACGAACACGAACGTGTTCGAGGTTCGCCCGAACACGCCTTCATAGGCGAACGGCGAACACTTGTGTCGGCGGAAATCGTTCGCCGAACCGAACAGTGTTCGGTTCGGCTGTTCGAGCTGTTCGACAGAGGACGAACTCGAACCTGTTCGAGTTCGGCCTCTGCTCATCCCTACTTCCCGCTACGTTTTATGGTCCATTTTTCTCTCTTCCCCTAACTTCCATGGCTCTTACGGTAGCAGTCTATAGTAGAATGGCCTGAGTTTTAATAGGGAATGATCTGGAGACACACGTACAGGTGTGTGAATGCAGTGTTGAGGTCTGTTGGTACAGGAATGGTACCATAAAAGGCACTGTTGGCCAACTTCCTGCAACACAAGACACAGAAGCACACGCATACGAACGTGCACACGCACATGACATGCACATGCACACGCACATGCACATGCACGCAGACGCGCATGCACGCGCAAATGCACATGCATGCACTCGCGCATGCTCATACACATGAACACGAGATGCGCATGCTCATACACATGCACACGAGATGTGCATCAGCCATAAGAATGCGCTCAAGCCGAGCCGGCTCACAGCAAGCCGAGACAAGTCGTGCGCGAAATGAGTCAAGCGGAGACTAGGCGTAAAGCTGGGAAACCGAGGAGGAACTGGGGGATGGAGGAAGAAAGTATTAACATTTGAGGCGCCTCAAGTGTTGCTTACAGAGACTTGAGCAGCGGGAAATCGAGGAGGAACTGGGGGATGGGGGCATGGAACGGGTTGCTGCTGAGATCACTGGGATGAGGATGACACAGGGGCAAGGGGTTGAGACAGCGGGGGCGAGGGGTAGAGATAAAGCGTGAGAGGCAGAGAGGCAGAGGTAGAGGAAGAGACAGGAGTGTCAGAGGCAGAGAGGGAGAGGCAGGATGGCAAGCAGGCAGACACGAGGGTGATGCGTGCAACCAGAACACAGAACATGATCTATGAGGTGCCTCAAAGGACATGGACGAACACATTCAAACAGGGAACAAAACGAAACACTAAATCTTCACTGGAGTTTTGAGGCAGCTCAAAGCACACCTATGTAAACCTCCCTTGTTCTTTATCAGGTCATCAGTTTTTCTCCACACCTCCGATTTCTCACACTGATCAGTTTGTGGTTGCGGAAATTGAGTACAGCCTCGCAGCAATACGGAGCGATGTGGCCATGAGAACACAGAGCACAGCAAAGGAAAGCATCACAGCAAGAGAATCACAGCAAGAGCAGGGCCTTACAGTGCCTCAAGTTGAATGAGTCTGGAGAAGTCGTTTGAAGGGGTGGTGAAGAAAGTAACATCCGACAGACCCCTGCCGGAAGACAGGGAGGAGAACGGGGAGAGAGAGGCAGAAAAAATGGGTAATAGAGCGGTGGAATGGGGTGTGACGGGATGGGTGAGCATTGGATGGTGTGCGATGAGGCCAATGGGTGCCGGGCAATAGTGTGGAAGGAAAGGGGGAGGCAGGCAGCGAAGCATGGGCAGCAACAGCAGCGTGATTCCATGACAGGGTTGAAAGGCAAGATCAGTTGCTGCATGGGGCTACACAGGGCTGTGAGGCATGGCAGTGTGGAAGGGAAGGAGAGGCCAATCAAGAGATTAGGTATCGGGGTTACGACGAAGGCTGTGAGGCATGGCAGTGTGAGTGATTGCCTTGCAGTAGAGCATGTAAGTGAGTTGAGAAGGGAAGATAGGCAAGCATATCCAGGCTGGGAGAGTAACAGCTTGTTGGAATCAGCATGCTGAACAACAGACAGGGACAGGAGGTTCAAAGATGTGCCGCTGAATGAGGAGGTGAGGCAAGACGCAGTGAATCTCAAAACGGTGATCGTAACGAGTAGAATCTGTTATATCTAGACTGCACAAGTTCTGTACTCTATTTTACATCAAGTAGGGTTTTTTAGTTTAGGTGTAGATTTTCTATCCCAACCTTACCCAGTTCATACTCCAACCAATATGCCAACCCGCTCACCACTGGTGATAGGATTGGTCAAGTGCCTTTCTTCTTAATCAACTTATTCAAGGTCAAAATCTGACTGAAGTAAGTGCTCACTCACAGGTACGTGAGGGTTGTGAGAGTGGAGATTGGGTCAACGAAACCTCCGATAACGTTGCCACTCAGATTGCTGCTTAGACGAGGAGAGGCAGGCAGGTGAAGGTGGAGAACCAAGTGTAGTTGCATATTTAAGTAGAAAGAGATGCGCCAATCAGGCGGGTAAGCAAGGAGATTTTCCAAGTAAGAAGTGTAGTCAATATGAAAGCGATGGATGCATGTGTCATGTAATGTAACTCGCGTAAGTAGCACAGCGAAACAGTTAAAGCCAAGTGGTTACTAGTTTGTGTAACCAGGCACGGAGCAGAGTGCATGAGCGCGGAGAATCGTGATGATTGGCTACTTTGCGAAGGGGACAGGCGAAGTGAAAAGGGGGGGGGGGATGGGAGGGGAGAGGGGAAGGGGAAAATAGTGCGTGTGGGTATGTGACCCTTTAGGGTCAAGTTGAGACAGGGGATGACACTTGAGAAATTTCCAAAAGTTGTTCCAGTATTGCTTGATGCCCCAAGTTCCATGAGTTGGGTGGGGAGGGAAGAGGGATGAAAAAGGGATGAGATGATGGAAGGGAACGAGGGAAGATTTAGGAAGGAGGGAAGGAGGAGGCAGGGAGGAGGGAAGGAGAAGGCAGGGAGGAGGGAAGGAGGCGGTAGGGAGGGGGAAGGGAGGAGGGAGGGAGGACGGAGGGAGGTCGAAGGGAGGAGGGGGGAAGAAGGGAGGAAGGACGACAGAGGGATGAACATGGGAGGGAAACGGGGGAAATGAGGGAGGAATGAGGGGAGGAGGAGGGAAGGAGGAGGGAAGGAGGAGGGAAGGAGGAGAAAGATTGAGCGCATGGAAGAAAGGAGAAGGAGGGAAGGGATGAGGGAAGGAAGAGGGAAGAGGGAAGGAGGAGGGAGGGAGGAGGAAAGAGTTGGGAGGAAGCAGTTACAGGTGTCGGAGGGAACTCATGGTGTCAAGAGGGTCTGGCAGCGGTCCATGAGTCTTAGTGTTGCTAAGGTCCCTGCCGTGCCATGCCATGCCATGCCATGCCACGCCATGCCATGCCATGCCATGCCATGCCATGTCATGATACAACATACCATACCAATCCATCCCAAACAATACCAGCATAGTATCCCATACATACAAAGCCATGCCATACCATGCGATGCAATGCGTGTTGCCATTAGGCGCGTGAGGGTGGCATGGGGCGCACACAAGGGAAGCATGCAGAGACACGGCCCGGGTGGTGCATGAGTGGATTGGTGAAGGGAGGTGGACAGATGAAGGAATGCATGAGTGCAAGGAATGCATGAGTGCGAGGAATGCATGAGTGTGAGGAATGCATGAGTGTGAGGAATGCATGAGTGCGAGGAACGCGCGAAGAAAAGCAGTACAGGAACACAGACGCATCGGTTTCTTGCTCCAAAGGGGACCAAGCGGGCATCCATAAGCCAGCTGACTGATGGAACTTCCACGCATGAGCACCCTCTAGCGGACCCGACCCGTTTTAAGTCGGGTTGGTTCGGACGAATCCTCGAGCCGACCTGACTCGATTCAGTCTGAGCAAAACCAGGTCGGGATGGGTTAGGTTGACCCGTGCAACATGTAAACTTGGTGGGAGAGGTGAGTGGGAGGCGGTTACAGACGGGAGAGGTGAGCGAGGAGTGACATGAGTGTGTGTGTGATTCGCTTACAGAAGGGAGAGGCCCGAGAGGCTCGCAATCTCCTGGGGAAGAACGAGTTGACTTTTGAGTCGACTCAGAAGTGAGCAAGGAGTGACATGAGTGCCTGAGATTTTCTTACAGAAGGGAGAGGCCCGAGAGGCTCGCAATCTCCTGGGGAAGAACGCTGTCGAAAATAACTCCACCCATACGGCTGAGGCGAGAGCAAGATGAATGGAAAAAATCGTGAGAGAGGGGGGACAACGTAAGAAAATTCATACAGGCATAACGTAAGGGGGATTGCGAGGGTTGGAGGGGGTGGGAGGGAAGGCAGGAGTGCAGTGCCAAGTACCCACTGATGCAGTAACGGGTCAAAAATTGGGTTTCATCAAATGATTTGAAAGAACAGGGCTCGATTGGTTGTTGCTCTCGGAGTTCTGTCCCACTCTGTGGAGGCGTCCCAAACTATGTTGCAAAATACGCGATTCGCGTACCAGTCGCGTTCGTACTATACGCCAACGTACGAACGCCATACGATGGATTTCCGCCCCCTCAATACGCTCAAAATACGTTGTCCCGGGCAGGGGAAAAAAAGTTCCGGGCAGGGGAAAAAAGTGTCAGGGAGAGAGTGATGGTCCATATATTCAATGTTTCTTGCCGATCTGCGGCGATCTGCTGGCGGAATACTAGAATCGCGCGGATCTGGCGGCGGAATGCCAGATCTGCGCCCCTCTGCCTACTTGCGTCCAGCTGCGACATTAGCGGTAGACATAGGTTTTTGAAGCTGCCGACGTGAAAGCTGAAGTGTGTGGTTGGAAGGGAAGGGTTGGATTTGGGAGGTGGTGTGAGGTTATGTGCGGTGGAAGTGGGGTGGTGGGTGCGGGGGAAGACATTCGACTTTCAAATGTCAGAATTAGGTTACGGAGAATCACAGATCGCGAGAACGGTCGCAACAGATTTTTTTTTTCCGACGGGCTGCCCGTCCAGGCGTATCGCGTATTGTCCCCGTATCACGTTTTTCCGTTTATACGTGAACGCATAAACGTGATACGGAAAAAATTCTCAGCGTATAGTGCAACATAGGTCCCAAAATGAGAACACTGCAGCAGCATAAGCAGCAGCTGAAGCAGCAGCAGCAGAGGCAGCAGGAGGAGCAGCGGGAGGAGCAGCAGGAGGAGCAGCAGGAGGAGCAGCAGGAGGAGCAGCAGGAGGAGCAGCAGAAACATCAGAAGCAGCAGAAGAAGCAGAAGCAGCTGCAGCTTTAAAGACTGCTGGGTGTCAGGTATAATTGTGCTGGTGCTGGTGGTGCTGCAACTGCTGGTGCTGTTGGTGCTGGTGCTGCTGCTGCTGCAGGTGATACTAGTGCTACTGCTGATGCTGCTGGTGTTAATGCTGGTGCCACTGCTGCTGCTCGACTCAAAAGTCACATTATTTGCTACGAGGAGAAATGGTAACCTCACAGTTCTTTCAATCGGGTGAGATCACTTATTCCTGCTGAAAGGGTTCCGGAAAGGGAGGACTTCCCAATGTCTCTGGGAGAAGATGGAAATTGCAAGACAGACAAAGAGAGAGAGAGAGAGAGAGAGAGAGAGAGAGAGAGAGAGAGAGAGAGAGAGAGAGAGAGAGAGAGAGAGAGAGAGAGAGAGAGAGAGAGAGAGAGAGAGAGAGAGACAGACAGACAGACAGACAGACAGACGAGGAGAGGAATGAGGGGAGACATGGTGTACAATGTTGTAAGACGCGCACAGCAGAGCAGAGCAGAGCAGAGCAGAGAAGAGCAGAGCAGAGCATAGCAGAGCAGAGCAGAGCAGAGCAGAGCAGAGCAGAGCAGAGCAGAGCAGAGCAGAGCAGAGCAGAGCAGAGCAGAGCAGAGCAGAGCAGAGCAGAGCAGAGCAGAGCAGAGCAGAGCAGAGCAGAGCAGAGCAGAGCAGAGCAGAGCAGAGCAGAGCAGAGCAGAGCATAGCATCCATACAGAACAGCATCCACGAGCATCCATACAGCATGCAGTGGAATTTTATTAGGCACACAGCAAGAGTGGACGCACAGAACAGTGAGGGAGGTGAAGGTAGCTAGAAAGGTGTTCACATCGCCGGACACATGTGTGTTGGCAATGGACCTATGGGGGAATGGGAATGGGGATGGGGATGGGGATGGGGATGGGGATGGGGATGGGGATGGGGATGGGGATGGGGATGGGGATGGGGATGGGGATGGGGATGGCGATGGCACATGCTTATTGCCAGGGCAGCGGAGAGACAGTGCTTAGAGATAGGATCAAGCAATCAAGACGACAGTTTGTAGTAACGGTTGGTTTGTAGTAACGGTTGGTTTGTACTAAACTGACAGGTGGTTGTTGGATCAGGTGGTGAGCTGTGGGTGAGGCATGGACAACGGGCGCAAGAGTGGGTGGGGGAAGGAAAGGATGAAGGAGAGAGGAGGGAAAGAATGGATGCGGAGGCAGGGAGTGGGTAGAAGGCAAAGGATCATATGGATGGGGTAAAGGGGGATGGGGTAAAGGGGGATGGGGTAAAGGGGGATGGGGTAAAGGGATGGGGTAAAGGGGGATGGGGTAAAGGGGGATGGGGTAAAGGGGGATGGGGTAAAGGGATGGGGTAAGGAGAGGCTGGAGACCATGAGCGTGGGTGAGGGGGGCGAGGAAGAGGAGGAGCGAGGGAGGAACGAGAAGAGGATGAGAAGGAGAGACAGACGAGGAGAGAGGAGGGAGTGAGAAGAGACATTAGAGAAAACTGGATAAAGCGGAAGAATTAGAGCTAGAATCGTTTTATTGAGTATTAGGGCTCAAGGCCCTTTCAGAACCACAAGAATGAGGTGGAGAGGATGATAGGGAGCAATCTCTATTGAGATCGGCAAAAACCTTCAATTGGTGGGTCAAAGATTTTGTGCGATCACATTTGGGGTCGTCTGAAATTGTTGTTAGTAACACCCAACCTCCAAAACTCCATCTACAGTAAATTAGGATATAGTTTGAGTTCAACGTGACGAGCTCCATCCCCCTCCAGTCCGACCCCCCCTACTGGTCGGACGGGGCCTCAATCAGCTGGTGCAGCTGTCCCTCGCTAAGAGGGATGATGGGACCCCTGAAGCCAAGCTCGTCCGCCGCCAAGGCCTCGTTGGTCTTGGTGCGGAGAGCGTTGGCCTGCGCCCGCTGGAGGCACACGCTCCAGCGCTGGCGGTACTCCGTCAGCAGCTTCGCTGCTTCGTACGAGGTAGGTGCTGCGTTATACCGCAGCTTCGCCGCCAGCTCCGCGCACTGCCGAAGGTAAGCCATCACCCCAGGCGAGGGGTAGCCGTAGGTCTCCACCGCGAGCGCGTGGAACCCCACCCACGCATTCCTGCGGGCGTACTTCTCCTCCTTCCTCGCTGCTGCTGCCCTAGCCGCCCAACCAGGAGCTCGGTTGCAGTTCTCTCTCTCTCTCTCGAATGGTCCGTGCATTAAATAAGGGGTGGTACAAAGGAAGATGCAAACATGCATGCTAACAAACAAACACCCAAACCAGAAACCTAACCACCTCCAGACTCCTACCTACTCAGCCCCCCCCCTAAGCCCGACCCTACTGGTCGGACGGGGCCTCAATCAGCTGGTGAAGCTGCCCCTCACTAAGGGGGATGATGGGACCCCGGAAGCCAAGCTCGTCCGCAGCCAAGGCCTCGTTGGTCTTGGTGCGGAGCGCATTGGCTTGCGCTCGCTGGAGGCACACACTCCAGCGCTGGCGGTATTCTGTCAGCAGCTTCGCTGCTTCGTACGAGGTAGGAGCCGCGTTAAACCGCAGCTTCGCCGCCAGCTCTGCGCATTGCCGAAGGTAAGCCATCACCCCGGGCGAGGGGTAGCCGTAAGTTTCCACCGCAAGTGCGTGGAACCCCACCCACGCATTCCTGCGGGCGTACTTCTCCTCCTTCCTTGCTGCCGCTGCCCTAGCTGCCCTTCTCTCTCGAATGGGCCTTGCATTAATATGGGGGTTTTACAAAGGAAGGTGCAAAACCAAGCAAACAAACAACAAAACCAGAAAAGCTACTACCTACTCAAACTCCTACCCTCTCCCGCCCCCCCTCAGTCCGGCCCTAGTGGTCGAATGGGGGATCGATCAGCTGGTGCAGCTGCCCCTCGCTAAGAGGGACAATGGGGCCTTGTAGGCCGAGCTCGTCTGCAGCCAAGGCCTCGTTCGTCTTGGAGTGGAGGGCGTTGGCCTGAGCTCGTTGGAGGCAAACGCTCCAGCGCTGACGGTACTCCGTCAGCAGCTTGGCAGCCTCGTACGAGGTAGGTGCCGCGTTGTAGCGCAGTTTGGCCGCCAGCTCCGCGCACTGCCGCAGGTACGCCATCACCCCCGGGGATGGGTATCCATAGGTCTCGACTGCTAATGCGTGGAAACCCACCCACGCATTTCGTAAAGCATATTTCTCCTCCTTTTTAGCCGCCGCTGCCCTTGCCGCCCATCCAGGAGCCCGGTTACAGTGCTTATCCTGGTGGGACACTGGATCGGTCACGGTCACGTCACACATCCACACCTCTCCCGTCAGGGGATGGCGGATAGTGACGTCCGTCTTTAGGTTTTCAACGAGAGAGTACACATATGTCTCCTTGTGCACCGTGAAGCCCGCCTCAGCTCCAATCAAGGCAATCTCGTTCCGGAGTGCATGGTGAGTCGCAATCCTCCCTCCCCCTTTCTCGCAGCGCATAAGGTGGTTGGGGAGGCGGTCGTCTGGGAAGGTGGTGCGGTACCGGCAGTCACAGCGCCTGGGCACGGGGAGGGGGAGGCCTAGGCGGAAGGCTGCTGCAGAGGAGTGTTGGGAGGGTCCCAACCGCAGCGAAGGGATGATTGGCAGCGCCAGCAGCCAGTCTCCAGCACCAGGGCCGAGCGCCGACTGCACCCGCTGGGCGTGGCCAGAGAGGGGGTTGGGCCGCATCTGCCTTGCTTCATCCAGGACCCCTAGGTAGTGGTGGGTGTGGACCGCCAGAGCGAGGGACTGCTGCAGCTTGAGTCCTTGGGGGTTAGCCTTTCCCGCCTGGAGGGCCTCCATAGCCTCTGGAGGGAGGGCCGCTTCTGCCGCTGCCAGCTGCCTTGGAAGGGCCTGGGCAGAGCCAGGGTCGGGGTCAAAAAGGGGGAGGAGGGAGGTCACATCGGGGTGCAGTGCATCGGCCAGGGAGCGGAGCAGGTGGGAGGTTCCGTTCCCACCACCGACGCCAGGTAGGCGTAGCTTCCTTCAACCGCCGGGTTGGTGATGCCGAGCCCTCCCAAAGTGACGGGTAAAGCCGCCTGCCGCCATATCCGCCCCTTCTCCTCCCCGCTCCTTGGGCAGGCGATGTGTGCCGCCTCCAGGAAAGTATGCAGCAGCCGCTCCCCCCACGCCGACCACTCAGCCTCAGGTAAAGCTGACAGGGGGGTTGTCCTGGCTAGGAATGAGGCACGCCGGCTCACACAGCGAGTGAGAAGGAGCAGGCTCAGCTGCGGGTCCATCTGGGACAGCAGCGGCAGCGGTTCCGCCGCGGACTCCAGCCTCTCTCTCACACGCACTGCGCAGCCAGCGGCGGTGCCGATTGGGCTCCCAAGGACTCGGAGCCCGTCTGCCGCGATGGCGATGTTCGGCGGGAGAGATGCGGGGTCGACGGCAGCCGCGGACCAAGCCTCGCACTTGGCCAAGTTGTGCTCGAGGCCCAGGCGCTTCAGCGCCGTGGTGAGGTAGGCGAAGGCGTCCGTGCAGGCTGCCGCTTCGCCCATAAGGGTGATGTCATCCGCGTAGGCGAGGATGACGACTTGGGGATGGGCTGCGGCGGTGGCGACTAAGCAGGGGTGGATGCTTGCCGCGAAGAGTAAGGGGCCAAGGGGGTCCCCCTGGCGGACGCCTCTTGCGCTCTGGAGTGGCGCCACCCCGAAGTCATGGTCGAGGTGGAGGGCAGAGGGAGCCCCATAGGAGAGACGGACGAGGGGCACCAGGCTTCCTAGCGCATCGTTCCTCAGCCCCTCGAACACCGCCGCCCTTTCCACCGCGTTGAAAGCGTTGGCGAGGTCAATCTGCAGCGCCACGGCCCCCTCGTTCGCTTCCAGGTAGGTGCGCGCTGTGTGGATGGCGGCCTCGATCCCTCCGGCTACCGCCACTCCGAATTTCAGGGGCGCGAAGTGCATTCAAGAACAGGGCAGCTTTCGCGACTATGCGCAGGAGGCATTCGCCAACTGCTATCGGCCGAGTACCCCCCTGGGGCTTCGTGAATGCAAGGAGGCGCGAGGCGGCAAGGAGTTCCGCGGCTTCGGCGCTCAGCTTCCCTGCAAGCGCTGTGTTGGTGAGTGCCAGGAGGTGGTTGAAGATGTCAGGGTTTCCGAGTGCAGCATCCCGGATGTGCTCAAAGGTGGTTCCCGAGGGCCCGGCCCCGACTCCATTCGGGAGCTTGGCGATAATGCGTCGGAAGTCTAGAGGCTCTTTCGCCGGTGTGTTCGCGTCGCGGGGGAGAAGGCACGCACCCACTCAGGTAAGGGGAGGAGTGCTTGTGGGTGTCTGGCCGCCAAGGCCGCGAGCACCT